CATAGCAGTGAGTAATTTTTATTTTTAATTCTGTGGAATATATGTATTCACACATCATTAAAAAAAATCTGACAATGATTAACAGCTCTCTAGGAATGTATTCTGAAGACAAATACACTCAACATTTTCAGGTTATATTTGTAGTTAATTTATGACTTGTTATCTTACCCATGTTTCAATTCATTGAATGGGATTGTACAGCTCCAAACAGACTGTATCCCATAGTTAGGAGAGAAAAAATCCTCAAAACTTGTTCAAGAGCTAGCCTCATATTTACTTAGATCTTAGAAATTTAAATGGTGCATGCAACCACTGTCTACTGAAGTAACTTAAGATGCACAACTAGAATAAAAATTATAGCCAAATGATAAAAGGGGTCTTCTCTTCCATTAAATTCACAGAACTTCCATTTATGCTAATGGAGTTAAGCACCTGCTCTGCAAAGAAAAAAGACCCCTATCTGTGAAAATAAATGTGTACAGTGTATTTTCCAGATGCAATGCTGAAATCAAACAACCAAAAATGTGTGCTATATAAACAAAGCATCATGTGGCCTACCTGAAAACATTGCTTTTTTATATTTTACTTCCTTAGTCAGAGGCCCTGAGATGTTACTCATGCCTTTGACATTTAAATTTAACAAAAAGAGAGAAAACTGGGGATGGACCAACTCAATCTGGTGATTTCAGTGAGCTCATACACAATCCTGTTTACCCCTTCACAAGTTTATATAAATTGCATCAGTAAATCTGGATTCAAGCCACAGCTCTCTGCCATCATCCTAAAAGTCATGGAGGATAATTGTACTTAATAGAGGGGGGCATGATCATGGGGCACTGTGCTGGGACTCCCCGCAGCAGCTGCAGCCTCAGCTGGGACAGGAGATGAGGCAGACAATTGGTAATGACTGGTGACACCACAGTCCCTTTCTGCAGCGCCCTTCGAGTTGAGTATCAGGTCTCCCAGGAAAGCATGTCTACCTGGACTTGAACAGGGGTGTCTCCCCTGGTAGTCACAGAAATCTCTTACCAAGAAGTTCTTGGCCATGGGATGCACAGAGAAAGGCTGCCCCTTGTCACTCCAACTATAGTAGGAATCATAGAGCTCTGTCCCAAAGCACTATTATGCTTTCAGGTACAATTACAATGTGATCAAAACAGGGTTGTGGGCAGATGAATTACAATATCTAGTGCAATTTCAGCTCTATTTTTATGGCCTTTGTGATGTTTATAATGTAAAGCATTACTATTCTCATTCACCATTTTTAAAGAAATAGGTAATAATGAGAAGATTATACAGCATGTACTACATTAACCATATTTCTAGATTTCTTCTTTTTCCAAATGGTCTAGGTCAATGCCAGATTTTTTTCCTTTCTGATTTGCCTCATGAGTGGTATTAAAAGCACATTCTTATGGACAGGATTGGCTACATAATTGTGCAGGGCCTAGTGCAAAATGGAAATGTAGATGCCGTGTTGGAAAATTTCTTAACAATTCCAAGACAATGACAGCAGAGCGTTAAACCAGGCTCAGAACTCCTCTAAGCACAGGGCCTATGAGACTGCAAGGGTAACCCAAGTATGAAGCCAGCCTTGCTCCTGGAATGGGACCTGGGCAGAGAGCACATGCTGCTGCCCCCAACCCCACTCCCCACCTTGGCCTCAGCCTAACAGAAGTCTCAGTCAGATCAACCAAGGAGAATGAAGTGAGCTGTCTTCCCACAGACAGACACCTATTCAATGTACTGAGGACCCAAGGAAAATGGATCAATAAAATGGACTCTAAAAAACTACCATGTACTTTCTTACACAGATTATGTAATTCTAGACTTATTTAAAAATGTCTCATCTTCTTTCCTAGAGAGCTCTGCAAAACAAGGTTTTGCATCCAAAAGCCAGCATTACCCTGGCGAGGGGGTCAGTTTTAATGGGGATCACAGGACCAATTTTGAATACAGATACTCTACATGCAATTTTATCCTCACTGCCATATTTTTTCACTTCCTCTTTATTTTTTCCTCTTAAAGTTACTTCCTGTTCAAGCCCCTTCCCTCTTGTTAGCCCTGCACCAGCCTTAGATTTGCCTTCAAATTCTAAACAGGCAGACTTGCAGGAAGGCACTCTGCCTGACGTCCTGCAGTTGAGGTGATTTGGAAGGCCGGGGAGGCACTGTTTAGAAGGTGCCTGTCTCCTCTAAGTACAGGTATACTCTGTCAGGTCCAGGCTGGCGGACAAGACAGTGGTAATTACAGTAAGGGCAACATTTGCCCATAAAGTGATCTACCATCTCAGAAGTGGGCTTCAGCTAAGCTCAGGTGTAGGGAAGCCACCTTTCCTTTCAGTACATAAAGCCTCTACAGAATTGGTCTTCAAAGATTTACAACAGGGTATGGAGATGAGTAAAAAAAAAGAACTCCCCCCATCTTTATTTTCCCCCAAAATAAATATGAGGTACATTTGTAAATACTTAAAAATACTTAGAAAAAAACTATAGTTAAGACTAACTTATCTTGTTAAGTCTGGGTTTTTCTGAGCTATAGATTGCTTTGTACCTGATCATATAATAAAGATCTGTTCAAATGTATAAACCTATCCTGATTTTTGGTCATTCAGAGAAAGGCAGGAAGATTAAAATATTACCTCCTCTTAATAAAATAGTATATCCTTTTTTTTTAATGGTAGTGAATTTGTAGGGATAAACAACTCTATAAATTGTTTGGCCTATTATATGTCACAGAGATTTTTTCTATAGACTGTCTAGACTCCAGACAATAGGCGAGACTGGCCTATAGTTGCAGGCATTTCTATAGTCTATAATATCACTTAGAAAAGTAAGAGCAATAATACAAAAATGAAAACCAGCCTGACCTGCCAGTATGATAGTAGAAATATGAGTATAACAACACTTCACAATTTAGAAATGATGATAGCAATCTACAAAGAAGTTTTAGCAGCTACGTATCAGCCAAAGCAACTTTTGCAAATTCATATATATATTCCCCAAATATGAATCAAATTTAAGTAATTCTGTCCACAGGCATAAAAAATCACTTTATTGCAGAAAATTCTTTTTATATATTATGTTGTGTTTTCTTATTGCATATAGTATGTGTGTGTGTATATATGTAGGTGTATGTATATCTAATATTATTGTATAATATATATATAACATACAGTACATATTATATATTAAGTAATATACACACACACACACATTACATTTGTGGTCAACATACAGACTTTTCCAAAGGCTTTTCTTGAAATAAAATAGACTATTAAACTATTCCACTTTTCAGTCCTCTTGGATAAAGCAATTAAGGTTGCATATAATCTTAAGAGGGTGGTTAAGGGATATGTATAAACAAGGGAGGTTAGAGAAAAGAGTTTTAAGATTTCATCTACTTTCTGCCATTTCCTCTCTGAGCACGTCTCCACATCTACTTCTCTCCCACAGTTACACAGTTATAAACCTAGGATAGAAAGAGAGAAAGTAAACAAGAAACTTTTTTTTCTCTTTTGCTAGCTTTTTAGTTTCTTTTTTGTAAATGAACCAATGAACAGCATTATTTTTTGTTGTTTAGTTTTATTTTGGTGAAGATCATGAAAATATAAAGTGTTTGAATATAAAGAATACTCATTGAAGAAAATATTGCTGTGACGCTATTCACAGTATTCTTGATTCAGAGGTATTCTTTTTCTAAAAGACTCCAAATTATGCCAACAGTCACCAGACCGTTTGCCTCTTCACCACTGGGGATGATTATTAAGGGATTCTTGGTTGCTGCTGGAATGGCTCAGCTTGAGGCATCAGTAGTTAAGGGGATGTCTAAGAAGTAGATAATACGCAGTAAAAAGGAGAGACTCTTCTAGTTGTTTTACTTAGACTTGGACATGACAAAACAGAAAGCTCCCATCTCTACAGTGCTTCAGTTTCTGCCCCCAGCTGACTTTTTAAAAAATCCCCCAAACATACTATCTAGTTCATTTCAACACAATTCTACCAGATAGCAATTTGGATCATCAAAAGTTCCACCATAAGGCAAGCTACCTAGGATTGCTAGATTTATAGAATGCTGATTGATGAAACCATCAACAGCCCTTCTCTGTGTGACCAGCTAAGCCCATCTACCAGGCACCCTCAGAACACTTCCTAGGTCCAGGACATGATGCATACAAATGTGGTATATTTCCCACCTGGAATGCAAACGCCAGATTCATATTATGCCAGGAGAGCATTACACAACCCTCTTATTTTGTTTTGCTTGAAAGTTCAATATTTTCTTTGTGTTTAAGGAAAAATTTCTTTAACTTCATCAGAAATGAAAGTTTTTGTCAATACTTTCTCATATAGTAAAAATACAGATACACTCAGTATAATCGATTGATAATATAATATTAAATATAGTATAAAAATTCAAGGAGATTTACCTGAAATAAGAAGTGTAGGTTTTATCCCTTTGATATGTACTATGATATTTGGGAATACTTTATCATATAGAGAGGTATATATTTCATATAACAACTTTGAGTATCATGAAAATGGTACAAAATTCTGATTCACCTCAACCTTCTTAATTCTACATTTTAATTAAGTTATCATATACATCCTTACTGAACATACCAATTAAAACTTTTCAAAGTAAACAACAAATTCCAAATTCAACATTAGCACGATGAATCTGGCAAAATGTTCATTCTCATGACATTCGTGTGAAGATCTATGTTTCATCACAGGATCGCTGGGAATTCTATAGCACTCTGAAAGGAGCCTGCATCATTAACTATAGGGCCCTGTGCGTGGAGACAGAAGACCAAATGAGGCCCTAAGGAAGTCTTGCTGAGCTCCCACTGAAGTCAATGGAAATTTGCAAACGCACTCTACAGGCTCCTGTGGCCCACAAGGTCTTGTCAATAATTTCACTAGGCCTTTAAACTAGATATACACGTAAAAAAGAAATAATAATAAAAACCCAAATCCCCAAACCAAAAAAAGATGTACCTCTCCAACATCGTAGATCCAAATACGACCTTCTGAGTCCCCAACGGCCACTTCTTTGCCAGCTTGAGCCCAGCGAACACGGTTTAGGGCGGACGCCCCCTCAATGGCTACACTTGCTGTTGGAACCTGTCAAAGAGGTTACAACAGAAACAAAGAATATCTGAATATGAATTTAAATATACGGATTTATAATGATAGGTTTAACTGGATGAATCACCACTGCCTTCATGTGCATGAAGTAATATACATCCCTTGTGCAGGGGTAAAAAGGATTCATTGTTCTTAAATCATATGCTCCACTGAATTAAGGGGTAGTGAGGAGACACTAACAAAAAAGGAAAAGAGAGAGAGTCTTTTTCCATAGTCAATGGGCAATGAGTGACATAAATATTTCTTCGGATTATGCAGGGTGTACATCGCACATACAAAAACAGCAGCTAAATGTGATACTTTTCCAACAGGTCATGATTTATGGATGGTTGGAGAAAGATTTCAGGATTTAACAAGATTAAGGGTCCTATAAAAGGCAGGAAGGTGGGAGTATGAGGGAATAAAAGTCATATTGGTAAGTGTCTTCAGGAGAAAAAATACGTATTGATCCCTCAAAACCTTATTGGGGAGGGGATTATCAGAAGAAGAAAAAGTATATGCAGGTAAACAACTGCAAAACCTCAAATTCTTCTCTTTCTTTTTTCTTTCCTTTATTTCTTTTCCTTTTTTTTTCTTTTCTCTTCTTCCTCCTGGCAGTACCAGGGTGTAGAAAGCACTCCATAACTTTAGAAAAGAGTGATATCCTGATAGAACATACCACCTACTTAGAAGGCCTTGTGTCTCCTTTAATAAACACCCTAATTCTGACAGTGTTAATTACAATAATACTTATCACTAAAGTAAACTGGAGGTGCTGACATGGGACCTACATATTTGTTTCAAGAACCTTGTATTTGGAAGAAGAATTTTAGTGGATCTACCCCTTTGCCATTGTCAGCTGTTGTAAACTCCTGTGTTTGAGGTTGGAAGTTTATAACTGACGGGAAGATCAGGTCTCCCGACCTTCTACAAGAATGTTCACTAGGAAATGACAACAAGTTGTGAAAAAAGTAAAAGGTAAATGTTGAACAAAAAGAAAAAAATATATAGTGAAAAGAGGGCCACCAAGATCATCTCACACCAAGATCATTAGACCTGTGTCTAATAAACGCGTCGCATTAGGATGGAAACATGCCATGTACTGTGCCTTAGCCCTCCTGGCATTCTGTTATTCAGGGAATTGAAACCATCTGTTTATATGAGATTATTGACCCAATACTTACCTTTACAATAGTAATAAAAACTCTATCATATGTAATAATCTATGTTTAAACTTAATCTTGAAATCAATAAAAATTCCTTTGCCTGCTTAAATCATTGTATGGCAATTGTGAGCAAAATGTAAAACAAAAGTCCCCTGCTCATTTATTTTTTTAAAAATACACAATTTCTACAATAACAGTACCTGCTGTGCCGGTTAGAGCCTGAATTTTTAACCAAACCTTTCAAAGGCCAAAACAATGTGAATTTAGATGGGCTATAATTCTGTCAATACACCTTATTATTAGTGTGCTACTCAGAAAACAAATCTGAGATTCAGCTAAAAAATTTTCAGAGTTAATTTTAACTCCATAATTAGATTATATAGGATCATACTTTACCTAACTCTATTCAATATCATAGTGTATCTATGAACAATCTAAAAAAAATTCAATAAAAATGTTTAATCATAATATGAATATGTTAAAAAATTAATTGCTCGGAGACTGAATTTTTGATACATTTAAATAATACCTAATACTTTCTACAGAATTTTACTTATATGAAACTAAGTAATGTAGCAAACTAGAAAAATTAATATTTTAACCATTTAAAAATATCTTCTTTTCATAGACATTATAAATGGCTAAAAAAATGACTATCACAACCTATAAAAGGTGCTAAAAATGTTGAATGCATGAAGGAAATGACAAAATATCTTTTATTAGTTTGATTGTTAATGACCTTTCAAAAGCTGGTGAATCTACAGTGAAAATAATCCATATATTGTCTCTCTCTCTCCTTTACTCTCGTACTTTGGTTTCACAAATATTTTCACATTTTGTAAGGCTCAATCACCATTTTAACTGCGAAGACAGGATACATACAGAAAAGTTAGTACACCATGCAGAGGACAGTGGCACTGAAATAGGTGACTATGAACTGTCTTTGCATAGAAGGAGTTGGGGTAACTTGATCTAACAGCACAGTAATTTGAACACCACCAAAACACATTGGGTATTCAGGTTCTGATTTGTTTGTTTGTTTTCTTACACAAATCTAATTTCTAATATGACAAATATTTGAAAAATCTTGTTCAACCTGACAGAAGTCAAAAATCATTTGAGGGTTTTAAAAAATGTTCAGTTCAGTGCCGGATTTGAATCAGACTCTATATCTACTGTTACTGCAAAAGCAGAATTAAGTTGACCACAAAACAAAATGGTTTGCATGACCCATAATGATTTTTTTTAATGTTTAGCTATAAAACTCTTAATGTAGTTGTCTCTTGATACCTAGAGAAAGAGAAGGGAAAACATTTACATTTGGCAATGTTGAGACATTAATTTCGTTTTACCTAAAAATGCAGATAGAAAAAATACACAAAAAAAACAGTTACATGGGAATTTTTAAGGAATCTGTAGAACATTCACTTCATTATATGAACAGTTGGGTATCACCTAAACATCACTTCTACTAAATCTGATTTCTGATATAGGGGGCCTCCTAAGTTAGTCTGGAAAATGTATTTTTTGGTTACTCTAAGTAAAAGAGTTTATTCTAGCAGATAGAAGCAATATGATTTTAATCAACGATGAAAGACTTTGGGAAATCATTACAGTGTAGACTAATAGCACCTTTTTATTAAAAGCAATAAGGTTATAAATATTTCCGCAACCAAAATAATGGGCATTGCATACATTCATGGCTTTTGATTACTTTCAAAGATGCTTCATTACATAACTCTTATCCTTATCACATAGTTTTTGTAGCCAAAAGGAAAAATAGACAGACTGAAGTATTTTTTTTTAAATAATTATTTGACAGGGGTTATGGGTATATATAATCTTGCAAGATACAATGACTCAATACTAACACCTGAAGGACATTTCCCTGCCCTCTCCCACAAAAAATAACCAGGGGCGCCTGCTCCTCCTCATATCCTCCAGCTGTAGCTTTCCTAATTAAAAAGGCTGAGCTGTTTCCTGCTCAAAACACTTCAAAAGACATTTCTCCTGTTCTCCACTTGATGTACAGTTTGCAGCACTTGTTCCTCTTACCTGTCCAATCTTATTTTTGGAGAGCAGCCCTGAATCAGAAACCAGGAAATGATGATGAGACCATTTTATTTTATTAAATTGAAGGCTACTTAATAATCATGTAAAAAAAAAAAAGAAAACCCAATAACTGAACTAGCACCTCAGTAATTTTGAGTGGAGAAAAAGGAAAAATGCATATTGCATAATTTTTAAAATATAAATATCTAGTGTCATTTTTAGAAAGAGGATTTCTTCACTATCTTTTGCTTTTTTAATAAAATGGGCTAATTTTCATTTGTGAGGTACTCGAAATGTGACATGTTAGAATCCCAATTTTAACAAAAATACTGAGTTTAACATACATGTTCAGAGTTAAAGACTATTGTAGAAGTGTGCCTGTGAGTTCAATATCCTAGACAAGGATTATTAATCTTGTAAAAACCAGAACGAGGATAGGTCTCAACATAAACAGTCAACAGATCATCTTTTATGGATTTAAAATAAACACCTAGCAAATGCCGACAAATAGCCCTTTCTGAAAGCTTAATCTCCAGTCAGTGTCCACTTGAGTTTACTTTCCCAAGTATTTGCCAATAGAGTTATTTCAACACTGCTATGAAATATTCCTGTGTGTCCTTCCCATAAGGAAAGACGTAAACACATATCATTTTGCTCTTTGCAAAGAAGGGCCATCAATTGTCCAGAATCTGCCACGGTTTAGGGATGAGGTGAGATTAAATGATTTTTGGCCAAGACAACTGCAACTCCCTTCAGCGCAATAAAGAATGGGGGGTCGGCAGCCCAGCTGCAATTGGAGGTTCTGTTCAAAAAGGGCCGTTTTGGAGACAGGGGGAGACGGAGAGAGGCCGACTGCACCCTCCCTCCCGCCAGCCCTCCCGGCCCGGGCGCGTGCGCCGCCGCTCACCTCGGTGTCATTGTTGAGGTTCCAGAGGTCCAAGCGCCCCATCCCGTCCACGCAGGCAAAGAGCGCGGGATGCACGGGGGACCACATGACATCGTACACATAGTCTGCATTGTCTTCAAAGGAGTAGAGCGGCTTGTTGTGCTGTAAAGCAGAGAGACCGTGAAGACTTTGTGGCGCTGCTCCTGCCTCGGGCTGTCTAGCGAGCCTAATTAAAAACTTTGCACATTCACAAAGTGTCATAAAACTTCTCGAGATGAAAGTCCTCGAGAAGGTGAACCGCAGCTTTAATGTGCCTAGAACTGTCCAGTGGCATAAATAAATACCGGGGGCCGGGGGTGGGGCGGGGGGCTCTTAAGGGGCTGGGGGCTGGGTCGGGCGGGCGAAGGCGGTTTCGGACTCGGTCCTACGAGACATTCCAGACAGGTGGACGGGACTGCCCATTAGACCGGAATTCTCGCCGGGCTACGCTTCGCGAGTCGCCGGGAGCCGGAACCCCAGCGTGTCTGCCCGCTGGGTTGGGCCCCGCGGGGATGCTCGGAGTCCCCGGTGGCCCGGCCCCTGTGCACTGAAGGCAACGCCTGCCACCGCGTGGTCCTCGTGTGTAGCTGCAGCCCTACTGCCAGTCCAGCTCCACAACAAATTCATACCTTAATGGTTCTTTTCCAGCGGGGCCTGAGGGGACACAAACTTTAAAGGGATTTGTAGCTCTTCTGAGAGGTGAAAAATCTCTCGGTTCTAAAACCTTAGTTTCTCTACCTAGGGTCGGTTCACCCAGGTCCGGTGGGCTGGTGTGGCTCAATGTGCTATCCCTGAACCGTCATGAAGATTCACATTTTCTGGATCACCCAGTATTTCCAAGAGTCCTGAAATGGGTGTGGGCGGGGGGAATGCATTAGCACACCCCCACTGCATACAAACGCTCCCCCCGGGAGGGATACAATAAATTAAAATGGCACTCTGGATTTCCAGTGAATATTGTCACATCAAAATAGCACAGAAGTCAGAGGCAAGTTTGAAAGTACACCAGAAATAAAACGTAATTGGACTTCATGAATTATTCATTCCATCTGGCTTGTCTTATTCTAATTTCTGCATAATGGCTTTACTAATCCCTGATCAATTAATGTAAAATGAAATTTAAATGATAATGAAAGCTCTAGAGATAAAAGAAATTAAGTATTCTTATATCCTCTGACAGAAATCTAAACAATGGGAGTTTTTTCCCCAATGTCTTCTTCATCCAGTCAGCTGTCTGTACTCTCTTCGTGGATTAGACTAAATGCCTGTACAGGCCAGAGTAATAAGATCAAAAAAAGATAACATACAATATGAACAATCAAGTCCTTTCTGCAGAGAATGTACAAAGAATGTATCTGTAGGGAATCGGCTCCAAATATTAGAGCAAACTCCCTAAGTGTACTGTTAGGGAATATAAAAGGCACAGAATGCATGTGCTGAAATCAAAACGCGAAAAATAAGCAAAGAGATAAAAACCTAAACCTAATGCGAAACTTTGTTAAGGTAGCAACTCTAAGTAAAAGTCTCTCTCCTTGAATTACATTGCTTTGGCACAGCTCAGAAGTGAACACAATTGTGATGCTATTAAAGCAATGTGGGAGGCTTTCACATGGGCCGTTGTGTAGTGGGTGGTAGGTAGAGTGTGAGCAATGTATCTTACTTTTAATTCAAAAAGTGTCAAATGAGGAGCAATTTGAAAAGAACATATGGCACTGACATAGCAAAAAGAATTAAATGGGTATTAGCCTTGTTATTTTCTATTTTAATATTCTACAGCTCTTCTATGCCAAACGTTTAATATGCGCCATATTAGCAGTGTGATTTGGAGCTAAAATTATTTGTCTATTTGCTATTCATGTAGCTTCTTCCTCTTACTCTTTGGACTAGGTGATTCAAACTACATTTTCCAGAAAATCTGAATATCTAACGACAGCATAAAGTAGCATGATTGTATCATTTTTCCTTACTGATATTTTAAGGAAAGGTAGTGTGAAGTAGCTGGTCCTTCAATGACCACTTGTGAACATTACATTCTAACTCTTTGTAGACTACTATCCCAGAACTAAATTCTTGATTTTATAACTAGCCAGTAACTCTTTCTTAAAGAACCCGAGTAACACATTTTTCTTAAAGTCAAAGGGAAGAAAAGACTTTGACATGCTTAGAGAAGACGATTCTCAGTATCCTCTCAATAACACAGTTGACAGCATGAGTGAGTATACTGAGGTCTAGCCACAGATACCCACCTACACGCAGGCAATGTGCAAGCACATCTACAGTCCTTGTTTTATCAATCAGAAGACCATCCAGCTCTACACAATCATTTTCTGAGAAGTTGATATTATTGGACATTTAATTCTCTCAGTAAATTATCCTATTCATCTTTAGGTTTATATCTTTCCTTTTTTCTTTTAGTAGTTGCTTCTCTGAGAAATGTAGTCAAAATTATAGTATATGCTTAAAAAGTGAGACTTCACTTTTTAAATATCTGGAAATAGCTGCTATTATTCATGTTATCTAAAACCCATTTTCTCATGTTTAATTGTACTGAAATGCTAGTATTCTTTAGGTTTTCTCTAACTTCCTTATCACCCCACAGCCCCAAGACTGAACCTCCATTTTAAAAGTCACTGTGTAAGTGATTTTAGGCTATAGTATATGCCCGTTGGAGGAAAGGAGGACTTACATTTTCAAAGGTTTTGTCTTAACCTTGATAAATTCACCAGTCAGGAAAGTCTTGGTCAGGACTGAACCCATTGTCAGGGTACCCAGTGGTCTACAATCCACCAGTTCTCAAGCATAGCATGACATATGCTATGGGAGCAGGGCAAAGGCCACCTTATGAAAGTAGGCAGTGCTCCTTTGGATATTAATTGTATAAAGGAGTTTTTCAATAAAGGAAATTTTCATTTATTTCATTTGGGGATCAAAGGGTCAACTAAAAACTCCATTAAAAAATGTATCTCAAATGCTTAATACAAAATGTTTATTGTAAACACAAAGATCACGAACTATGACCATTTTCATAAAATACATCAAAAGCATTAGGGCCTAAAGATTCTGTTTTTTTAAGTCTGAAGCATGAATATTTGGATCCCTGGAGTTGTTACTGCTTTCTATTGCATTATCACTGACTGCAGAATACTACAAGTTTTGAAAAGGTGGAGGGTGCGGGGGCAAATATAACCCATGATTTTTGAGGAGGATCTTGTAATGTCACTTGCACATAATAAAGCTACAGAAGCTTGGCAATTTTAAATATTTACTCTGCAAAATCTCAAGGCCTTTTAGGAAACTAAACATCACTCTACTGCAACTCTAGAAAGCCTTTTTCAAAATGAATTTCAGTAGACAAAGCCCTCTTCACCTGTGTGTTTCCTTTCCTAATGCCATGTTTCATATCAGGGAGCTGTTAAAGAAAATCAAAAAGGAAAACTGGACCATTACACAACTTACTGTATGTGTGACACACGCTAAAGAAATAAAGCCATGGCACCTTGTGTTTTAGAGGGAAGTTTAGTTTAGAAGTTTCCAGGGCTGTGCCAAAAATGATAAAGTATCCAGATGCACATCAGCTTGCTCTGAATGCCCTGACTCCAAGAGAGTGGAAAAGCTGGTACCAGTCATCTCCCAGACCGTCATGCAGTGCAGAGAAGGGTAAAGTGCGAGGTGTTGCTGTGGGCATGACTATGTACATGTTATCTAATTCAATCTGCATAAAATCTCTGGAAGGTAGATGGTATTTACAGAAAAGAAAAATTACAGTTCAGGAAAGTTAGTAACTTTCCCAGGCCACAGACTTGTTAAGTGGTGTGGTTGGACTTGGTTCTTTGGTTTCTCCAGGTGTCAGGAACATCCTCTATTTGCCAGAACCACGCCGTCCTCTACAAAACATAGCAATGGTCCTCAGTCTTAGAAAAACAATAGCTCTGTTACCTCTCCTCTTGGCCATCACATTCAATTTAACTCATATTTATGAAGCACACACTGTGTAACTTGTAGAACGAGTTAAAAAATGCCACAGTCAGAATGTTTATTTCATTTCCTGAATCAGTTATTAATAACCCTGAAGAGGCTACCCACACAATTCCAGGAATCTTTAGTACCCTGTGAAAACTAGGAAGTAGGATGGGAATGGCAGAGATTAAAAGCAGGCCAGGAGTCATTAGAAGGTAGGATAAAATGATACTATTAGGCAAGGATCTGGGTTCCAGCTCACTGAATGTTTATACAACTTTGGATGACAGACTACAATTGGATTATATGGAAATCAGGATAGCATAGGGGGCATGGGACAGAAAAGGCAGTAGGTGGAAGTGGAAAAATTTCAGTCCTGGGGAATTTAACTTAACATCCTTGGATCTTAGTGTTTTCACCTGTGGGATGGGAGGCTGGACCAACTGACCTCAAAAGTTTCTCCTAGCTTTGTGATTCTATGACCCTGTTCTGCAGTGAGTTTTGAATGGAATACAGTATCTAACATTTTTTACAAAGTTATCTGAAGGCAAGTATTATAATTAAAATAATCTGCATTGATGTTCTGTGGAATTCCTATCACAGTGATTTTCTTTTTTACTTTGTATTTCATAAAAACATTCATATAAAAATGTACCAGGGTGGTTTTAATGAAAAATTAGAAATTATGAAAGTAATAACAAAGCTCTTACTTGACTAAATGGAGAAGAAATAAAAAATATTAAATTTACATGAGAGGTAGGTAGTAAGTGGTAAAAAATGAACTATAGAACATCCATCATCATTTTATAATAAAGACTTGATCTATAGATTTGAGATTTGATTTTATAAGCATATTTCTGACAGTGAGTAGAGCTGCATATTTTTCCAATTACATGTAAAATGATTTCATGAGAGATAAGTTTCTATTTCTGATGTCAGATCAGAAAGTCACATCTAGACAATATAATGTTTGTTTTATTTTCCTCTGTATTATTTATTTGTCTCTCATCAGGCACCTCTGAGCATCCCAACAGGCTTTACTATTTAGAAAGTTGGTGAATAGGAAGATTTGTGTTAAAATGCCTCCTAACACCTCCAAACACTGTGGTTCTTGAGGTTGCATTTGCCTGTAAATGATTAGCTTTCAAAGCAGACTTAGTAGAAAT